GATAAAAATTGCTTCGAAATTCTTGACAAATGACCCCAGATTTTTCTCTGGCCACTGGATTCAGTATGATTTTACACATTACCTTCTATTTTTATTTCTATTGTTAGAGTCTTTTAGTAGGTGAATTATCAATTTGAACATAAATTTCATAAAAACCCGTGTATAACGAAATATTAGTTTATTCATTTCTGCCGAGACTATTGCAATGAATTTTTTTAGCGTTAGAAATGTTTGTTATATGCTCTGCTGTCGGCCGAAAAAATTATAAAATTTTCCTTGATCATGAAAAAAAAAAACACATTTACCAACAATTTCCTGACACTGGCTGAACATCCTTAACTTGTTTCGTAATTTGTCTCCAACTTTTCTCTGCGTCAACTGTTTTTCTTCATCAAGTCCACGGCTGCTAATCGTCATCTATCGGCGGCAAAATAGGACGATACCTGACAATTAACGGGACTTGATGATGAAAACGCAGTTATCCACTTGTTATCCCCTAAATGGAATTCAACAGTCAACTCTCCACAAAATAAAAAAATTTCAATTTTTTTCTAACAGTCTAATATGACATTTCTCTGTGTAGTATCGATTAAAACGGACTCTACACCACACTGAATGGCAATTTTCTATCTAATAGACAATCTTCTCCTCATTCTCCTCCCCCTCATCAACCCACTCCCCCCTCCTCTCCCCTCCCCCCTTCAATATCAATTTTCGCCGAAAAAGGCGAAAACAAAAATCTCCATTTCCTCTTCATCTTTCCTCTCCCCATTGTCAGTCGAATGAAAACAATTATCGAATGGAATTCGATAAAGCCAACAATCTGATATCGATCACTCGAAAACGCCCCTCTTCACCGGAATTTATGAGCCGGAGTTTCTCTTTACAAATACCGTCCTTTAATCTGCGGGGCATTTAATTAAGAATCGACTCGTGCTCGCCTACACACGCACGTAAATGCATCTACTATTTCGTACTGGATTTAATCCAGTGCTACACCCATTGCTGACTATTCCATTGAGTGTGAGAGAGACGATAAATCCCCGGATAGTGCCCCCGGAAAATGAGGGACAAGGATGGAAAATTGCTTGTATTACATACGTGCACATACGCGCCGTCTATCGACACCGACTCGATGTCGCGTTCACTCAGCGTAATCGAACGTCGGGAACACGCCGCATTGAATTCTCCACATATAACTACCCAACCCTGGGCACCCCGTTAATATACGCTGAAAGACGTGAATCGACACGGGATTTGAATTCCGGGGATAATTAATACGTCGAAATAGTACCGCACGGGGAATCGCAAATAATCTGTCTGTTGTCGATTGCAGATAGCTTTGAAGTTTCGAAAAATTCTGGCATTGAATTGGTAGCTTGACAGGGATTATCGGGGAGAAGACAGAACTCCAATAGGGGGTATTGGCCTCATCTTGAAATGATTTTTTCATCACGCTGTGACGAAAAGTGAACTTTTGTAAATTTCAAGCTTTTTCACATGAAATTTCAAGTGTAATTTTCCAACAATGTATTTCTAGTTTCTAAAAACAAATTCTCTCTATATAGGGCCTCTTCCCAAAAATGTTCACCGCACACGAGAATTCTCCCGGTAGTCCGGGATTGACTGCGAATATTGCCAGCCCTTTTCAGTTACCAGAAGCGCTCACCTCAGATTTGGCAACGACCCAGGAACAATGATTTCAAATTGTTTCACCCTCAACAAAAGAGAGTAAAATAGCGCGGGAAGAGGAAGGGGAAATCGAGTGAAAATACCTATTACATTTGCATACAAATTCGAATGTTATTGTGTGTTGCATCGACTGGAATGGGAATTAGAATCAAAACTCACTGGGTGGAAGGGGGTTTACAACAGTAATACAAGACTAAAAGTATAGACTATTCACAAAGGCAGAGAGATTTCCAGCGGAAAATACAACAAGACAGCGGTTTTTGCCTCATTAATTTTCACGATGTATCGAAAACAAAGTTTCGATCGAATGCTGAAACCGCTCGTATCTCGTGAACTAATCAACATATTTTTGCTAATAAATTAGCAATTTGTTTCCGAATGAAATTTTAATGACGATGTATTTTAAATTGAATTCATTGATTCATTCTCAACGTTGGCAGCCAACATTGCCCCGACGTTAATTTTTTTTACTTTTCCCTGAATATTGATTTCAAAATAGATTTTCAATTGTAGATGATGCACACTGTTGAAAAAATTTGGCTGAAATTCCTTAATTTATATGATTTTTCAAGTGAAAACGAATCTTTAGGACTTTTGAAGGGATTCTCTGAAAATTCAAAGGAATCTGGAGAGATTGCTCTGAATTTTCCTACTTTTTCCTTAATTTTCGCAGAATAATTATCCTGAAATTACAGTTCCCATGAAATTATGAATTTTCAATGACAAATTTCCTTGAAATTTCAGTGGAAATGTTATTTCAAGTTTTGTTGAAAATTTAGTTAAAGTCCCAATCTTTTAGCGGCAGGAAGAGAGAAATTCCCCAATTTACATGAATTTTAAAATGCAAATGAATATTCAATGTCAAATTCCCTTGAATTTTCCGAGAATTCTTCTAAAATTCTTGGAATTCCAGGAATTTTGAAGGACTTCCCTGAAAATTCAAAGGCATCTAGAGAGATTTCTCTGAATTTTACTACTTTTTCATTTATTGCCTTAGGATAATTAAACTAAAATTCCAGTTGCCACGGATTCTTCCACGAAATTATGAATACTCAATGACAAATTTTCTCGAAATTTCCAAGATTCTTATAGAAAATTTCAGTAGACAATTTTTAACAGTACAATCTCATGATCGAACTCGGTCAAGATGTCATTGGGAAGAATATTTTAAATCACAATCGGTTTCACTTAACCAATTATTTTTTCAGTTAACGTCGAACAACGATCGGCACAACCGAAAACATATTTAAACTCCAGAGGCCAAAATAAGTTATTCTAGCACAAAAAATTGGAAATTTCGGATTTGACGAACGCAGTGCTTCCACTCTGAAGCAAAAAGAATCGTGATTCTGTATTTTCCAGCGGGAATTCCGCACCTTTTTGTTAAGTCCATCCAAATCTCTCCATCTCCGAAATCACTTTATAAATGAAAGCAAAAACCGGTGCCTGGGGGGAGGGAGGGGCACTATACGCTGCGCACAACCCTTCTACCATCCCTTTTGACCGCTAGAATGCAAATAATTGTTCCCAGCATAACAACACGAGAAAGCCTGATGGTGAACGTAGCAAGGAATGTAAATAGTGTCTACGTTGGTGGGTACTCCCTTATGCCAATCCTCCGCATTTGAATTGTGTGGGCGTTGAAGCCATGAGGCGATTTTACCATTTTCCCCTTCTCCTTTCCACAATCTCAAACGTTTATTATACAAACTGGTACTCAGGCGCCACGCGTATGTGTGACGTAACCCCAGAGCTCCTCCATAATGCATCAACAAATGCCCTCAAGTCATACTCCACATTTTCACGTCAGATCAATCTCAATGGATTATTATAGTACGCAGTTTTTATGTCTTCAGTGCTGTAATGGGAGTACATTGGTCGGTGATTTTTTTATGGGGTCCTTAATGATGTGGGAGAGGACGAGAGTGAGGCGCCCGATTTTTAACCGTTTGTGGAGGTTCCTCGCGGGGCAGAACAAAATAATTTGATGAATATGGAATTTATTTAGAGTTTTGCATGCACTGTTCGGAAATTATTCTTTACATTTCGAGGAAAAACATCTTGAAATTTTTGCGCACATCTGGAAAAATTTAAGAACGTATTCCCTGGAATTTTTCTCGTTCCCATGACCTTTGTGCAATAAGTAAACTAAAATTTACAATTTCCATGAAATTTTTCATCATATTGTGAATTTTCAGTTACGAAATTCCTTGAAATTTCAATCCCACTGTTATTTGATGAGGAATTCCGAGAGATATGCCAGAAATTTGAGTCCTAAATTAACCCTTAAGTGGTCGCATAATGAGGGAATCCCCGCCGTTTTCTGATTTTTCTTTTCACACAATAACTTCGTGAACGAAAAATCCGTAAAAATTTGTATTCCTAATTTCAAATATATGGAACACATCAACATCTTTTTCTCGGTCCAAACTTACACCAATGAATTATTAAAATCTTCTGAAAACTCGAGTTGCTGAAAATCGCAGTTTAACCTCAAAATTTCGTAATTTTGCTCCTTTTCAAATCGAGTTTTTGAATTATTTGACAATTATTTCAGTTCCATACCTCTATTTCCTATTCATTGAAAGTTCAAAATTACCTGTGAACGTGGAATAAATTTTTTTTCCAATATATGGAACACATCAACATCTTTTTTTCGGTCCAAACTTACACCAATGAATTATTAAAATCTTCTGAAAACTCGAGTTGCTGAAAATCGCAGTTAAACTCAAAATTTCGTAATTTTGCTCCTTTTCAAATCGAGTTTTTGAATTATTTGACAATTATTTCAGTTCCATACCTCTATTTCCTATTCATTGAAAGTTCAAAATTACCTGTGAATGTGGAATAAATTTTTTTTCTTCAACTTTTTTTCTCTCGAAATCTTAGACTGCACGGGGCGGGGATTCTCTCACTGTGCGACCAACTACGTTCGGTGAAGAGCTGCGATCACTTAAGGGTTAAACATGAAATTAATGGTGGAAAGAATTTTTATTTTTTGCTACACTTTTCAGTCGTTTGAAAGTTGAACAATATATTTACCCAAATTCTCCTCCCCTCAACCTGGATTTATCTTGACGAAATCCATTAAAAAGTCAGCGAAACTGTTATTTAATAAGAATTTCCCCGGAGTGTACCAGAGATTTCATCCCAAATTGATCAACAGTGAAGAACCCCCAAATTTGGTGCGATTCCACCGTCAAAAATCTCCCTTCCCCGTAGCCATAACCCAAAATCATAAAAACCCCATTCCAATCTCCCCAAAATATCGCCAAAATCTAACGAAAAACCATAACTTCCGTTTCCAGAAACTGCAAACAATCGCCGAGGACTTCTGCGGCCTCGACGTAAACACACCATTGGGCGGACAGGAGCCAATGACCGCTGTTCCGGTGTTAACATTCAATACACTATTGACCGCCGTAGCAGCAACATCAACTGGCGATTTTACCGTAGTTTTTATTGGCACGCAACACGGTCATCTGAAAAAGGTGAGTCATTATTTCACAATTCCAATGTACATTGACAAAAACAATACGGTGATATAACATTTTATCCTTTGAAAAAGATCCCCCTGTGTTTCCCTCCCCCCAGTCGGCCATTTGCGGCGAGCGGTGGGCGGTGAAAAAATGCGTTAATGGGTGTGTTTTCAAAAGTAAAAGAAAAACCAAAGGCCCCCCGAGCTTTGATGTAATTTAAGGGTTGGTTTATATACGAGATACGTAGTCGTAGACTCACAAACGGCCCACACCGTTCGTCCAGAAACGTGCTCTATCGCTCCATTACAAAGTTTACCAGGCTGACGAGTATCTCGTACACGTAGACGACTCGAGATGGACAAAGAGGGGGGTAAAGGGCTTGGGGAATATCGCGTGGCTAGAGAGAGAATGCCTACACCGTCTATAGAGACTGACAAAAACATCTCCATTAACGTCACCCCGGGAGATACCGGCATTAGTTGGCCTCTCGCTGCTTTTTTTTTCTTCTTGCAGAGTGAAAGTTCCTCGAGAGCCCTCGTTATTACACGGAAATTTCATAAATTACGGATTTTCTTTTTTGATAACGAAATTACATTAATGGGAATTTTCGGAGTGGGGCGTTGGGAGGGGGTAATTAGGTGGAAAATTATATGGATTTTCATTCCTTGATTGATGTGGGGGAATGTCCGAAATTTTTTAGATTTGGAAAAGTCTGAGTCATTATTTCCTCATTTTGAACAATCGAATGTGTAAGAATTTTCCAGTAATAAAATGCGTTTTTCTCATTATTCTGATGTAGAATCCCCAAAAAATTGATTCTTTGTGAACCTCAATATTGTTCGCGTAGGAAAAAATCAATTTGATATAAAATTCATGCACCGGTGAAAAATAGTTAAAGAAAATTGACGAGACGGTCGAAACGTCAGTTTCGGGACAGAACGAATAAGGAATAATTGCGATTTTTCTGCGATTTCATGAGTTTTTTTCCCTATTTTTGGATTGCAATCATTTAAACGACTCTTTTCTTTACCGTAAATAATGATTTTATTTAGTTGTTGCCTACATTTTCCGTTTTACACACGCTACACCGACCAGCGTCTCTAGCCAACTCGGTTAAGAGGTAGCGCCGGAAGATGTCGTGTCGGTGCAGTCCGTCACATAATTAAAATTATAAAAAGGTTCCTATTTTAAATCTTAGAAATTGAGCTTGGATCGAACAAATTATAGTTTTCTGTTTCTACCATAGTTTAATTGAGAGTAAAAAAAGGAGGAAAACTGTATAAAAATTTAGAAATGAGTCGTAATTAATAGTATGCGTTCAGAAAAAACCCAAAGTGTTGGATTCCAAAACCAAAGCGTCTTGATTCAAGTACCATGGGTACTCGATTTCATAAAAAATTACTGAGAACTCAACTTTTTTCTCCGATTCCCAAAGAATTTTCCCTGGAATTCAGTACTGTTTGTCACGTATTTCAGTACCACTGAGTACTGAGTGTTACTGGAAACCAGAAACTTTTTTCCCAGTGAAATGCGAAATAAAAGTGAAATGATGGTTAGATAATTCCGAACGAAGACGAAGTATCCAACCTTCGGCGTAACGTAAACCGAGTGTAACGTTACCATGATTACACGCACTGTTCGAAAATGGTTAAAGGTCCCCCGGCCAGTCGGGTGTTGTAGTAACGGGCCAGGCCGTTTGATTCATTGCCGCGCCCCGTGGTAATCGCTCGGCGATTGTGATTAATTAACGAATGCGCGTAGGTAGTTCAAGCGATAGGTATACATATGGGTTACAGGGGGACGCTGGAGTTTGCAAAGATATATCTGTGACCGGTGCGTCGTCCCCCGCGCGTGTTTGTTGCCACTCTGCCCCTTGGGAAGATGCGCAAGCGAGGGAAAACGTTGGGCAATTATTTACACCCGTATAACGTTTTTTTTCACTAATAAAAATGAAAGAATAACAAAGGAATTACGAAACAACGTCGAAACCCGGGAATTTGATGTCTCCTATGTTTCATAAATCTTTGGGGTTTTTTTCCCATGTAAATTACTAATTACGGAGGATGAAAAATCCACTTAACGCGAGAAAGCGCTTGTGAGTCATTAGCATTGATTGACGGGGAATTTGATCATTAGTTATTCGTTTTTTAAAAAAGTTGGTCGTTTCTTGCTGACGTCACTGGGTGGAGGAGGTGATGTTGGTCCACTTAGAAAGTTGGAGAAATTTTCCCTGGAAAACTACAGGGAAGGATTCATTTAATTCATCAATTAGTGAGATCAATATAGGGAGATAAATGGATGATAACAATAGTCCTCACGATACGGTTTTATTTTTTTGTTAGAAAAACTCCAGGCGGCTGTATCTCTGATACAACTGTAATTTTACGGGGATACGTCTATGGTCTTTCCTTCACTCTCGAATTTCCTCTGGAAACTCCTTAAATTTCTTGGAAATTTCTACAAACTCCATGAATTCTCTTGAAATTCCGCCAAACTCCTTGCATTCCCTTGAATTTTTTAAAAACTCCTTGAATTCTCTCGAATTGTCTAAAAAATTCTTGAATTCCCTCGAAACTCTTAAAACTTCTCGAATTCCCTCGAAATTTCTGGAAACTCCCTAAATTCGCTTGAAATTTCGCTCGGATTCTCTCAAATTTCCTCGAAATTTCTAAAAATTCCTTGAATTTTTCCGAAATTCCAAGAAACATTTCAAATTACCTCGAAATGTCTGAAACTTTCTAGAATTTCAATAAACGGCGCTGCACATAAGAATCATTTCTCAAACTAAAAATTTAAAAAAAAATTAAAAAAATGAAATTTCATGGATTCACTGTTAAAAAATTTCCACTGAAATGTTCGATAAGAGTCTTGGTAATTTCCTCATAATTATTAATGACACTGAATTAGATCCACTTAACACGGGAGACCGTGTCGAACCCATTAATAACGATTGACGCGACAATTCAATCATTAATAATTCATTCCTCCCAGACATTATCGAGCGCCTCTAATTGTTCGGATCGTTACTAACCCTTGATTGATCGAGTGTCAAAAAATGTTTGCACAGAAAATGAGTTTTATAATTTTATGAATAAGTTGTGGGTTAGACACTCGAGGATGACTGACGTGTGCGTCAGCCCAAAGTGATGAGAAATGTCGACCGTGATAATTGCCTGGATGTAATGATGGGATTGCGATTGCAATTAATAACCGTACTACGTGACTTAGGCTCATGTAATCCGTTGTTTTATTTTTATCGCTTTTTATGGCTGGGTAATGATGAATCGGTGAATCGTGTCGATAAAACACATTCATCTTCATTCTTTTCTCGTAGTTTCTATTGGGAAAAATTGTGGAATTGATGAAGCTGTAATGGGCTAGTTTTTCATATTTCAAACATTTTTTCATTTTTTCATTTTCGACTTAAGGTAAATCATCCTACCGAGGATCCTCCGCTCGTGTAGCTGAGGTGAATACATCATTAGTCCAATATTTCTATTAAAATGAGTGTAAAGATGCAATGTTTTAAATTCAATATCAGCAAGTAAAAACTTCAGAATTAGAATTCACTTCTATTAATCATGATAATTACTAGTTTTTAATAAATAATCGTCCATAAACGTGGAAAGTCTCATGTCCCTATCCTCGTCTCGTGATTTGAATGATATGAAAAGGTTATATCCGAACTAATTACATCGTGAGTATCCTGTTGGGGATAAAACAACATTAGAAAATATCTCGAGGCACAAAATTATATTTCAGTTGACCATTCCAACCTTTTAAATGATTTTTTCATTCGTTTAGTCAGTGACCATTTGACCGTTGATTGCAAAACGAGCATAGGATCAATGCCATTTCCATTTTACCTACTCTTTTAATTGCCGAAATTTCGGTGAAATATTCAGATATTGCTACAATTTATGCATTTTTATTGTTTTGTTAACCATCGGAAACCTCAGTCACGGGATTTTTAATCCTATTTTACTATTACAAGAGAATTCAATGAGAAGAAATTCACGAGGTCGTGACATTAAATATTATTTAGGGGGGAAGAAATCATGAAATTTTAGATTTAACTGAAAATTCTGGGCTTCCAGTGCCAAAATTCCCCAAAAATTTCAGCCAAGAATTGTCAGCAAAGAATGAAAAAATCAACAAATCAATTCGTCGTTCACACAGCGACGAAAAAGCCAAATAATCGATAAATTGATAAGTAAGAAAATGCAATGAGAAGAGATTCCAAAGAGATATGTGTGTCCGGAATGGCGCACGATCTCGTGGCAATTCGATGTAATGCACATACACAAGTCACGTAGGGGTCGGAGTCGTACTGTTGGTCGTAGATCGTGGCATCTACCCGGTGACCTGCGACCCCGCTCGGTACTTCAAGAGCCAAATGAGTCGGCACCACTTCGCCTAGACCAAAGCGTCGGCGGACAAGGGAGAGGAACATCGGTTTGTTACNCGGTTTGTTACTCAATCCCCCCCCCTTCCCTCCTCTTCTCCGCTTTTCATCTGATCATTAATTAATAATCCTTCCGGGATAAAATATGCGGGATCATGAATCAACCAGCGACAGCGTGGTACCTAATCCCCCTGCGCTTTGTGACCCCAGTTCAAAGATATTTCAACAAGTGGAGTATTTCTGGGCTTCCATAATTGAAGTAAATTATTAATGTGCAGGAAATCTACACTGCTAAAAATGTTCGTCTGAATTTTTAGTGCCAATCTAAAATCGGGATATTTTTTCCCCTGTATTATTCAGTGATGACTCTTTCGGTTAAAATAATTTTAATTGAATACTGATATCAGAAAATTCCATGCAAATATGACAAAAAATTATTATTCCGCAAATTGAAATTTAGTTTTGATTGAGCCAAAAAAGTGAAAATATTGAAACAAATCATATTTTTTGTTCACAATTGTGATACACAATTGCTTATTCTTTTTTGCCGTCTAACCCAATTGTTCGTTAATAGATGTTGTCACTCGGTTTTCCATCCCCAAAGGCG